ATTAAAAATAAAAAGGGGCTCCACCACTGAGCCAGGACACGCGTCTCTCTGACACGCTCAGCGGCAGCACGCTACGTGGGCTTCTGACCCCCACAGGCTGGGTCCAGCTCCCAACACCTCCCGAGTGCACGAGCGAGCGAGCAGGCCTCTGCAAACCTGCTGAGCGCTGTCCAGCCAGGACGGGAGGGAGGTGTGACCGGGCCCCGAGGGCCCCTTCGCACCAGCTGCCGCCCCGGGCCTGTGGGCAGGCCACCCCACGCCGGAGGGAAGGTGCAGGCCAGAGGGGGCGCCCAGCCCGCTGACCGGTCCCCACCTGACACTTGCCGGGAGTCAGCTGGCTGGCCTCGGCCTAGGTCCAGCCTGGGACCCGAGCCCAGCCTCCCCCGCCCTCCGCCCGTCTGCACCGACACGCGGCGGCGCCCGCACACACGGCCAGGCCTGCGGATGGAAGGGCTGCAGGTGGCCCCGGTCTGGACGGCTGAGCTTTAAAAACCTACGGCGTGTCCGTTCCCTGAGCCGGCTTCCGGATCGGGGCCAAGGGGTGACGGGGTGACGGGGTGCGGGAGAGGGAGCGGGGTGCACAGGGGCACCGCAGACCCTCCTCTGCTCAGCAGGTGCCTCTGGAAACGGAAACCAGCTTCCCCGTCTGACCGATGCCACGTTCCCAATGTCATCTTTGTAAAACGGAAAAAAAAGGAAGAAAAAAAAGACGTGTTTCTATTCTCTTCTGTTTCTAATAAAAACGAGGCAGCAGCCTGTCTCTGGGAAGGCACTGGCGGCCTCCGAGCGGGTTAACGGTTTTTAAGTACATTTGTCAATGGGATTATTGTTTTCTAAAGTTCTGCTCTGCACGGAGATTAGTGGCTGCCGTGCCCGGAGAAGGGGGGGCGGGGGTGAGAAGGGGAGGGGGTCCCTGGTCCTTTTCATTCCCAGCCGGGCGGGCGGGCGGGCGGGCCGTGCAGGTGCCGGGAGAGGGAGGACCGGGAGGGAGGAGCCTGGGAGGGCAGGGTCCCTGGAAGAGCCTGGACAGGCCCCCTCCCCGCCCTCGGAGCGGGGCGGTGGGCCGGGCCGCTCCCAGCCCCCTGTTGCTGCCTCCGTCCCCAGCGCCAGTGGGAAGTTTGGCTTTTGCTGCAGGAAGCAGCTGGGCCAAGCAGCCGCGCATGATAATGGCCTCCGAAATCTGCTGTGCGCGCGGCAACAATAGGGTGCTCAGTCTCCCGGAAAATTGTGTTCATCAGCTAACTCCGCTCAGTTACTAATTGACATTGCCAAATATTTTAAGAACAATTGGAATGCACAAGCAAAAAAAAGAAAAAGAAGATCTTAATCCTCAGATTTAAATATTTTCTCTTTTTTACCCCCTCTGCTTTGGGGCCTGGATGTGTATGGGAGGGGGGTGGGCAGGGAGAAGCCCCCGGAGACAAAGGGGCACAGGAAAGGGAATCGAGGGTCTCCCTGTGCAGCCCGGGGGCTGGACGCCGGCCGCTGAGGCTGTGATCACAGGCCTGTCCAAGCTGGACCCCTACATGGGAATGCCACTCAGCCGGCACCGAGGAGTGCCGGGCGTGGGCCCAGCTGACCAAACACTGCGCGCGCCCACTGGACAGGCCGCCCAGCAGGGCGGGGGCGAAGGGCCTTCTCCTCGCGCTCTCCCTGGCTCCCCAGAACTCGGCGGCGTTATTTACCCACAAGGGTCAGCGCCTCCGGTGGCGCCCTCCCCATCCACGCTTCGGCGAGCCCCTCTCGGCAGGCCCGGGGCGGGACGAGGAAGGAGCAGGGCCGTTTCCCAGCACATTAAGTTTTAATTACGCCGAGCGTGACTTCCAACGCGAAGCCCAAAGATGCAGGCGTTGGGTCGTCCTCCGAGTGGGTGTGCCGCTCGGATGCGGGCCGGGCTCTGCGGGACTTCGGGCAGAGATGCCGGACGGAGGCCTGGCCTTGGGCATGCGTGCCAGCCACGAGGGGACGTCCAAACAGCCACCCGCTCCCCGATGTCACGAGGGTTTGTACTCTGCTGCCTCCATGTCACTCACTCCCTGGCCTTGGCCACGGACACAGAAAAGACACTGGCTGGGTGCACAGCCAGCCACGCGCACAGCAGCAAAAATGGGGGGACGAGACGGGGGGAAGGGGGTGGCGGGGGCGGGGGAGGTCCATGCGGCTGGTTCTGCCCCTTCCCGGAGAGAACACACGGCCTCGGACAGAATGAGAACACACGGCCGCTCCGGAGAACAAACACATTTCCGGTTCACTGGGACGGTGTTCACACGCTCACCGACTCGAACCTCCTCCCCGCTCACAGCACCAGCGGCTGCACCCACACCAGCCCGGCCGGCAATCACCGCCGTGTGGTCGCAAACTTGACCCTTTCGGCGGCGTCTGGGGCTGAGCTGCCGTTATAAACAGCCGCTCGCCGTCCCCGCGCCCGCGCCGGTGACAAAGGCCGCTCATTGTGCACCTCCGCGCCCAGCGGCTCGGCAGAAGGGGGGTGATGCATTCAGAGCGACGGTCGCGTTAAGGGCAGCGATTTGTAAAGGAAGGCTTGCCCGTGACGGTCTGGAGACATCGTTTCCCAGGCCCTCCTGACCCAGCGTCCGACGGGAAGAGAGGAGTGTTGCGAGGCCGTCACGCCGCCAGGGAGACGCGGGGAAGCCAGAGGCCTCCATGAGCCTTTCTCCCTCTCCCCCCCACCCCCCGCCCCGGGCGGCCCCTCTCTGACGGCGATAATAAAACAGCTATGGTGTCACCTGTTTTATGTAAAGGCTTCTTCTCCAGGCGCTCTGTCCCGGTCAGACTTGTGGGAAGGGAGAGGGAGGAGGGAACAGACTGGGGGTCGGGTCCTAATCCCCGGGAGCCAATGGGGCCGCGTGGACGGCAGATCTGAGGCCGAGGCTTGGCCAGAGCGCCGGGAAGGGCCTCGGTGAAGGAAGGAAGGAAGCAGCGGGGAACGCGGTCAGCCTTCGGGACTCCGCACGCCTCCAGGAGGGACGGGACAGCACGCCGCTGACCAGCTGGCCGCAGCGCGGGGCGCGGGCTCTGCTGGCGGGGGCCGGCGGGCTCCGAGGGCAGAGCGGCTTTTGGCGAGAACATTTGGAGACCGGGCGCGGCGGCGAGGCAGAGCGTGGGGGGCGCCGCTCAGCCAGAAGGTGAGAAAACCGTGGGGAAGGAGACGCCGCGAGGAGAAGGCGAGCATTTGGCGCCAGAACATTCCGCCGAGCCCTTTGCGTCTCAGCGGGTCCGGCGAGAGGCGCGGACACCTGTCAGCTTCACGCCGCGCTCCGCTCTCTCTGCCCCTCGAAGGTCCCCATCCCCAAACAGCACCGGGGACCGCACCCCCAGCAACAGGGCCCCTTCCCCGGCCGGGACAGTCCCGGGGACAGGGGGCACCCTCGCTCTGCTGCTCCGCGTCCAGGGACCATTTCCACCGAGGCCTGCAGTCCCCCCGGCCCCTCGCCTGCCCGGGCCGCGGTCAGTCCTCGGCGCGGCCGCGCGGCCTCCCCGGGGCTCCCGCCGGAGATAAATCACCGCCGGGCAGGGACTCGGAGCAGACAGTGTGTTTCATGGGTATTTAAGCAGCGGCATTAAGTGCTATCGGAATCTCTGGAATGTGCCGCTCAGATTTATGTGTCTTAACAGTCCGTCCTGGTCTCTGATAAGCCGGGAGCGCACACTTCATCTCCGCCACTCTGCCCGGCCGGAGGGCGGCCACGTGCCCACGGTCACCGCCCCGGAACACAGATAGCTATCAGAACCGGGGGGAGTGGGGGGGGGGAAACTTAAAGAAAAACCGAGCCCCCGCCTTCGCTGCCACCCGTTCCCGCGCAGGTGCCCGAGCCGCCATTTGTTTTCTGGGCTCAATGGCTGATTGCAGAAATCAATGTTGCCATTAGTAACGGGGCATTTGTGAGGCTGCGGAGCGAGGACGGTGTGAGCCAGCGCCTTCCTCAGGAAGGGCTCGGCAGAACTCCTCTGCCCGTCCGAGCGGAGGGCTGGCCCAGGCCAGTGGCCGCCCGCCTGACAGGTGGCCACTTAGAGTCTGCCCTGGGAGGTACAGGATTTGTGTGTGTGTGCATGTGCGTGTGTGTGTGTGTGTGTGTGTACAGGTGTGTGTGTGTAGGTGCGTGTGTGTAGGTGCATGTGTGCATGTGTATATGTGTGCATAGGTACGTGCGTGCGTGTGTAGGTGCGTGTGTGCGCGTGTGTGTGCATGTGTGTGTAGGTGTGTGTGTGCATGTGTGTGTGTGTGTGTGTGTGTGTGTATTCTTCAAATTTGCCATGAAGCCTCCTTGTTCCCGATGTTCTGATGACAGATTTGCTGCTTCACTGTGTTGGACCCCAAGGCCGCATCGCCCATTCACACGGCGCGTGGCGGGATGGGCACTGTCACATCCGTGTCACAGCTCCATGCCTTCCAGCCACAGAGGAGGGGGGGAAAGAGGGCACGCTGCGATTCTGGGGAGGAAGACTGGGGGACCATCCTGAGCCAGTCACAGGGGGCAGGGCAGGGAGGGTCTGAGTTGGCACCTTCACGTCTGCGGACGGATGGAGCGGGCTCAGGGCCCCCAGGCGCTGGAGAGCAGAGGACTGCCAGCAGGGGCAGGCCATGAGGGGGGCGGGCGGGAGGGCAATTACAGGGAGAGGTCTGCCCGAGGGCCACCCCACCACACGGGAGGAGGGTCTGAGACATTGCGTGGGAGCCAGGGCTCCGGGGACGGCTAAGGGCTGCAATGGCAGCCTCTCTCCGCCAGACAGACAGGCGCGGTCCTCCTGCGCCCACCAGCCATGCTGACCTCGGCCCTGACCTCGCTGACCTCGGCCCTGACCTCGCTGACCTCTGACCTGACATTGAAAAGCAGAAAAGGCCCACCCCCACCGAGGCCTGTGCAGAAGCCGGCCCTGGGCACCTGGACAGGCAGGGCCCTAGCCAGCGGCTGACCTGCCCGCCCGCCCGACCGCCCGCCGCCCGCCCGCCGCCCGCCCGGCCGCCCGCCGCCGCCTACCTGAGGAGGACGGCGAGGAGGGGTGCGGGCTGTCCTCCTGGGCGCTGCCGGTCTGCGAGAGGCCCCCGCCGGCCCCGCTCTCCTCGGTGACGTTGGAGGAGCCGGGCGTGGTGGAGCGGCTCACCGACTGGGACTCCTGGTCGCTGCCAGAGCCACGCCGCTCCTCCAGGCCCGCGTGCGGCCCGTCCTCCTCCGCCCTGCGGTCCCGCTTGTGCACGCGCGAGTGCACCACCACCTGGTGGTAGGTGCGGAACACGCGGCCGCAGTCGGGGCACTCGGTGGGCTTGTCCTTGAGGCCGCCCGGGCCCTGCAGGTGGTAGTCCAGCGCCTGGCCCAGCCCGTGCGCCAGGAACTCCCGGGCGCCCTCCAGCGGGTCCAGCTTGGCCGGCAGGTCCCGCGGGCCGGCCGCCTTGGCGCCGGGGAGCAGGTCGGCGGGCACCTTCTGCCGGGAGCCGTCGGCGCCCACCAGCACGTACTCGCGCTTGTCCCTGTCGAAGAGCACGCCCGCGGGCGCCAGCGCCTCCTCGGGGCCGCGCGGCAGCGGGGGCTCCTTGGGCAGGAAGCCGCGCTCGGCCGCCACGCCGCGCGCCATGAGCTGCCAGGCCTGGTAGCTGTGCACCGGGTCCATCTCGGCCGCCTTGGCCGCCGCCTGCAGCCGCTCGATGCAGCTGGATTTGAGCGGCGGCACCAGGCTGAGGCAGCCGAGGAGCGCGTGCTTGTCCCCGTCGGGGGCGGCCCCGTGCGCCCCGCCGCCCGCCATGGGCGCCAGCAGCTTGCCCAGCACGTCCTTGTCCTTCGGGGGCAGCTCGGCCTTGTAGAGCGGGCCCTGGCCGCCCGGCTCGCCCAGGCCGGCCTTGTCCGGGCCCAGGAAGCCGCCCTGCAGGCAGGACAGGTAGCGCGAGTAGAGGTTGGCGTGGGCCTCGGGCGCCAGCCCGCCCAGGGCCGCGGGCGCGTCGGCGGCGGCGGCGGGCTCGCCGGGGGCCTTGGCCTTGGCGGACAGCTTGTTGAGGTGCACCTTCATGTGGTTCTTGAGGAACCAGGGCTCCTTGAAGCGGCGGCCGCAGATCTGGCAGCAGTGCTCGAAGGAGTCCTTGTGCTTGCGCATGTGGCCCTTGAGGAACCAGGCCTGGCTGAACACCTGCCCGCACACCTCGCAGCGGAACTCGTGCGCCGCCTGCCCGCCGCCGCCCGCGCCGCCCGCGCCCTGCGCCGCCTCGGCCGTGATGTGCGCCTTCTCCACGTGGCCGATGAGCTCCTCCTCCTGCGAGGCGGCGAAGTCGCACAGCGTGCACTTGTAGGGCTTGTGCAGGATGCGGATGTGGCGCTCCAGCTCCTCGCGCTTCTTGAACTTGCCCTTGCAGAAGGTGCAGCGGAAGCCGGCGGCGGGGGCCACGGCCTCCTCCTGCGCGCCCCCCCCTCCGCCCGCGGCCGGCTTGGGCGAGGGCGCGGGGCGGGCGGCGTCGGGCGCCCCGGGGGCGGGGGCGGCGGCGGCGGCGGCGGCGGCGGCGGGGGGCGCGGGCTGCGTGTGCGCGTGTCCGTGTCCGTGGGGCGGCGGGGGCTTGAGGTCCGGGCGCGCGGGCGCCAGGCTGCTCCGCAGCTGCCGGTCGCGCAGGATGGCACGCTCCTCCAGCTCATGCAGCAGGCGGTTCTCCTCGCGCACGCGCCCGCGCCCCTTGCCCAGGTTGCCCAGCTTGTGGGTGCGCAGGTGGATCTTGAGGTTGCCCTTCTGCGCGGCGCGGTGGTCGCAGTAGGGGCACTTGAAGGGCTTCTCGCCCGTGTGCGTGCGCATGTGCAGCGAGAGGATGCTGTTGAAGCGGAAGCGCTTGCCGCACAGCGGGCACGGGTACTTGCGGTTCTTGCGCGCGTCCTCCTCAATGTCGCTCATCTGCGACATGATGCCCAGGTTCTGGCCGTTGAGGAACTGCTGCAGGTCCACGCGCCCGTTGAGGCCGGAGTCCAGGTCGCGGCCCAGCGGGCCGGCCAGCAGCGCCATGGGGCCGCCCAGGCCCGGGCCGCCGCCCAGGGCCGCGTGCGCCTGGTCGTCAAGGGGCGCGGGCGGCTTGTCCTCGGCGCCCGGCCGCGGGTGCAGGTCCGGGAAGGCCTGGCCCAGCTGCGCCGTGATGTGGTGCAGCTTCTGGCTCATGGCATACTGCCCGTTGAGGACCGGGCCGCTCCGGCGGGGCTGGGCGTCGGCCGAGGCGGCGGTGGCAGCGGACACTCCAAGGCACAGGCTGGCTTCTTCCATCCCTGGAGGGGGAGAGAGAGGTCAGATGGGGCGCGGAACCGGGCGGTCCCGGCCTCGCCTCGGCACCATCATGCTCGGGGGTGAGACTGGAAAACAATAATAATTTTAAAAAATGAATTATTCAATGCCACTGATGCGCCATGGCTCTGGTCCCCACATCTGTTTGGGCAATGCATCGTCTTCCCTTGTATTTCCTATTTGCTGACTGCAATTACTCATTCGCAGCTCAATTATTAATGTTTTACCACTTTTCATTACCTGAAATATAACACATGGGGAGGGGCTGGGGGGGCGGTCAGCGTGGGAAAGCCTCCCTCCCGCCCCCTCCCCCGCCGCGGACACCCACACCTGTTGGCTGGGTTCAAAGTCGGCCCCGGGGCGGAACGGCTGCCCCCTCCCTCCGAGCCCCGGTTCCCACGCCAATGCATTCGCCACTCTGAGATGAAAGGGGTTATTTCATGTTTTGGTCAAAAAACAAAAAACAAAAAAAGGAAAAAGAAAGAAACACCCCATGGCATGATATTCATCGATACGTAATAAAACAAGATAATGTTTTGGGGGGAAATAAAGCGAAGGACAGGCTTTGGAACAATAAAAGGGGTTTTGCTTTAGTCAACAAAAAGTGCAGTAATATCTCATTAAGCTGATTAGTATGCTGCTTAGAAACAGTGCTAGGTGCTGTAACACATGATTATAATCATAAAAATCCTTCAGTGTTTGCAAGGAAGCATTAACGAGGTATATTAAATTTTAAGGAGACTGCTAGTAGCAGCTTTGCAAACCTCGGAGATTAAGGTTTAACCCTTGATGCCACGGAACGCCGTTAGGGGGCCGCCGGGGAGCCGTGCCCGCCGAGGCGGCCGCACCACCTCCTGACTGAGACGCGGTCGCCGAGGAGGCACAGGTGTGGGTGGGGCGGGGCCCCCACCAGGGACGCGCTCGCTCCCTGTCCTTCGGCCGCACCGTCTCCGAGGCCGGGCACACGGGGCTTAAGGCGATCGTTCAGAGAACTAGATAAAGACCAATTAGAGGCCGGCGCCGCCGCCATCGGAACTCTCGCCCAGGCTGAGCGTTTTTAATAACTTTCCCGATACCCGGTAATGAGTACAAATGGCACCTGCGGAAGGAGCTCTGCAGAGAATGAGGACGGGAGCCGTTTGTTAAACACCAGCGCGCAGAGCGGGCCAGGCTGTCACCAGCCTCGCCGGCCTCCAGCCGGGCAGGGCCACGGAGCTGGCCTCGCCGGCCTCCACCAGGCAGGGCCATTCACCGGCCTCACCGCCCTCCAGCCGGGCAGGGCCATGGAGCCGGCCTCGCCGCCCTCCGGCCAGGGCAGGGCCGGGGAGCCAGGCCATGCGGGCAGGGGTGCGGAAGCCAGCCCCATGGCAAGCCCCTGGGAATTACGCTCTGGGAGGCCAGGAGCCCACGCCTGGGTCCTCCTGTTTCCAGGGCCCCGCTTCCCCCCGCCCACGCCCCCCAAGGAGCCCAGACCCGCTTCCTGCCCCCGGAACGAGGCTGCCAGCAGTCCTCGGCGGGCCCCGCCGTTTGGATGCCCGGCAGCGCTCACCCCCGCCAGGACGGGTGCCCGGCCCCTGACTCCTCAGGGGGCCTGGGGACAGAGCCCAGGTGTGGAGGATGCACGTTCAGTGCCACGGGGTGTGCTGCCCGCCGGGGGTCTCCAGCAGGCCCCGGGGAGACAGGCTGGGCTGGGTGGCCGTGGGGCACAAGGGGGGGAGGCACAGACACGGGCAGAGAGCGCCAGCGTGGTGCAGGTTCGAGTGTTCATGTGGACGCCATGGGGCACCTGCCGTGGCTTCTGCAGTGAAAGACCTTCCAATTGGCCATCTTCCTGTTCTGGTGGCAGTCAACTGGTTCAAAACATTATTATTGTTGCTATTTTCAAAGGCCCATTTTGGAGACCGGTCCAAAGGAGTGACTGCTTGTGGTGAGTCGTGCATCTCAGTAACTTGCCGAGATGCCTGCGTGCCAGGCCCGGTGCAGGCTCTCAGAGACATGGCTGCCGGCCCGGCAGTCCTGGCGTCCACCGGCGGGCACAGAGGGACAGGCCCAGGTGCAGAGCCCCTGGCTGAGGTCTCCAGGACCCGGGCCATGTGCCCAGCCTCTCACCACCTCCAAGGCGCCCCCTCCCCCGGCTGAGCCACGCTTGCTCCTCTCCTGAGGGCACGGGCGGGCAGGGAAGTTCTCGAAGTCGGGAGCCACCGCGAGGGCCCGGGCCAGAGGCTGCCCGTTGGCCGCTCCACAGATGCGCGGCCAGAAGACGGGCTGATTCCAGGCTGCGGCCAGTTCTGAGCGCCGTCCCTGCCACCCGGTGAGCAGACCAGTGGGTCGGGGAGGCCGCCCACCGCCCTCAGGCACTCGGGGCCGCGGACGCGTGTCCAATAGCGTGCTCAGGGCCTTTCCCGGGGAGGTCTGGGTATGCAGCTCTTTCCCTTTAAATTCCTTTTTCAATCAACAAAGCTTTCTAAAAACCCTTTGTGCAACTGGTCAAGTGCCATTGCTGAACACAGAATGTTCCAGAGCCAGCAAAGGCTGGAGAGCGTCTTCCTTCTGACTCGGGCCTCGGCTCACATGTCCCTGTGCCCCGTGTCTGAGGCCGATGCCCCGTCCCCCTCCAGCCAGCCCACCCACCCTCACAGCACTCAGCGCCGGGCAGTCTGGCGTGGACCCTCCGGCGTCCGGCGAGCAGCTGCTCTCCCGTGAGGCCAGGTCCGTGGGCCTTGGTCCCAGAGGAGGCCCCAGGGCGAGCGCAGGGCTGGCTCACCGCAGGTCCGTGCTGCCCGCCGAGGGGGGATGAGCCCCAGCCTCAGGGGCCCCAAACTCAACCTCGCACAAGCCCACCAGCACCCACAGTCAGACGCGCCAGAGCCGAGGGCCTCGGGCTGGCCCCTGGGGAGACCCGCTGCCACCAGCCCTCCCGTCCAGGTGCCCACGGGCACCAGGGGGCAGAGGCCAGGTCTCATGGGACCCACGGGGACGAGGATTTGAGCAGCACCAGCCCACCAGAGACACGCCAGGCATGAGCAGAGCCCGGGGGCAGGGCGTGCCAGACGGTCAGCCAGGTCCACGGGGACCCGGCCTGCAGTGCCAGGAGCAGGTGCCCAGATGGGTCAGCCCCGGCCAGTGCTAGCGCCAGCCCGAGTGCAGGGGAGGGAGTTCCTGGAAAGAACGGAGCCGGGAGCTGGCCGGGCCAAGGCGGCTGCGGCAGGATGGGCTGGCGCCCCGCCCGGCCTGGGCCTCAGCGCTGGGTCCACCCAGAGTCTCCAGCCGCCAGGTCCCACGTCCAGAACTCACTCACCCCTGGCTGGCCGGTCACCCAGGGACACGCGCCAGGGGCCAGGGCAAGGCCACCGATGACAGGGAAGCAACAAAAAGGCTCCTGAGAGGCAGAGTGCCAAGTCAGGGGGAGGAGAAACAGCGCAGCTGTGGGCACAGGTGTGAGTGTGTGAGTGTGTGTGGGTGTGTGTGTCTGTGTGCATGCGGAGTGTGTGCAGGGGGAGGGTGTTCAGAGGTGTGAGTGTGTGTGAGTGTGTGTGTACAGAGTGTATGCAGGAGAGTGTATTCAGAGGTGTGAGTGTGTATGAGTGTGTGTGAGTGTGTGTGGGTGTGTGTGTCTCTGTGCATGCAGAGTGTGTGCAGGGGGAGGGTGTTCAGAGGTGTGAGTGTGTATGAGTATGTGTGTGTGTACAGAGTGTGTACAGGGGAGTGTATTCAGAGGTGTGAGTGTGTACGAGTGTGTGTGTGTGTGTGACACGTGCAGGGGGAGTGTGTTCAGAAGTGTGTGTGCGTGTGTGCATGTGCGTACACACATGCAGGTGAATGTGTTCAGAGGTGTGTGTGTGCACAGGTTTATGTGTATGTGTGTGTGTGTGTGTGCCCATGGAGTCAGTCTGTGCAGGAGGTAGCTGATCATGATTCTCTCTCATCATGATGTTTCTCTCTCTTCCTCTTCCTTCCTCTCTGAAATCAATAAGTACATATTTTTAAAAAAGAAAAAATACCAAGAACCAAGCGGGGCCTGAGTCCCGGCCGCCGTGGCAGCCTCGCCACCACGTGGGGCCCCAGGATAGCTTCTGGGGCTGGAGGTTCCGCGGGACCTAAGCAATGACCGTTTCCCGGAGGGTGCCTTGGCCCCCGGCACCCACCAGCCGGCACCCAGATCGCCCGCCCTCCCGCCTCATCACCGCAGCCACCGGGGCCGCCCGCTGCCCGGCACTTCCTGCGGCAGCCACGTCCAAAGCCCCCAGCTCCTCCGATGGAGACCCGGCGGCGCCCCTCCCTCAGAAGGACATCGGAAGCCATCCGGCCCCAGAGATGCCAGCTGCAACGAGTATAAATGCATTTTACACAAAACACGGTTCCGTTTTGCTTGCACAGGAGGAAGGGGGAAAAAGTAATCTTACAAATCGTCCAAAAAATATAGATCTTGCCAGCGAGGGTCTTATCGCGCACCATGAAGAAGAGTGGTGGGGAAATAAAATGACTCAAAATTGCCATTGCAGCTGGGTTTTAAAAAATGGAATATTGTTGACTAGCCAAGCACAGCCAAATATTCCTTTTTTATCGGCGTGGGGAGAGGCCCGCCTCCCAGCTCTCCTAGCTCGCAGCCCCCAGGCCGACGCTGGGCAGGAGGGGGCTCAGGGCTGCGGCCGGGCCTGGAGACGCCTCCTCGAGGACGCTGCACGGCCCAGGTTCTGGCCGCAGACGGACCCCTCCCGGGGACCCGTCCTGCCTCCTGACACGGGGCGCGGTGACTGAGCCGGCGTCCCGGCCGCTCAATGGCTCTCCATCGGCCCCTCTCGCCATTGTCAGGCTCACGCTGCGGGCGCTCAGGTTGCTATCAGCACCTTTTCAGGGTCATTAAACAGCGGTAAACGCAGTGACAAAAATAAGCCGGCGATTTCACGCTCGTGTGTGGACCCGGAGCTCCTGTGCTGAGCAAGGACCTTGTTTCTCCGTCTCCCACGGCCTACGCCGGCGAC